TTTCTTTTTTTCTTTTCTTGAGGTTCTTTGTTGCTCTTGGAAGATAAGCGTGTTTGTCTTCCTATTGTAAATCTTCTTTTGATGAGTTAATGAAAGTGTTATTGATCAAAAAAAAAAAAAAATTACAGATAGGGCATTTTAACTGGGGTATTGAATGTAATAGGTCAATCCAAGATTCAAACCTATACCATATCCATATTTTGTTGGTTTGGGTTGATAAAATGACTAACTAAAAAAAATGGTTGGACATGGGTTCTCTTCCATGGATCTTGTTAGGATCCAAATATCTATAATAATTAGTGTTTCAAAAGCGCAAGGGCAAAAAAAGTGCAAAGGCCATTTTGCATCCAAGGCGCAAGGTGAGGTGCATGCTTTTTTGAAGCAAGGTGTAATTTAAAAAAAAAAAATAAAAAAGCAAAAAATGTAAAAATTGAAAATAAATTAAGAAATATAAAAAATAGTATTAATTAAAAAATAGCATACAAAACATATTCAAGCATGTCAAACTTTTAATTTCCTTATTTCTTTATCAACTGCATTATTTCACATGGTTAATGTGATGTTCCATCTTTCATTCCTAATTCTACAAGCCACATTTATACCAAGCCCCTTGAGGCAAGCCCAAACAAGTCCATGTTAGGATCCTAAATTCTTAATCCCTAAAAAATGATTTTGTAATTTTAATTATCTTTTAAACTATCTTTTATTAGGATGAATGAATGAATAACATTAGCAAATAAGGGGAAGGTATTTTTAGAAGATAATTAAAATTATAAAATCATTTTATTAAAGATTAAGAATTTAAGACCCTAACATTGGGCTTGCCTCAAGGGGCTTGTGGTTGGGGTCTGGGGATAAAGCCCCCAGCCCAACCACCATGCTTAAAAAATACCAAAAAGTGCAAAAAATAAAAAAAGGTGCACACTTGGGCAGAGGGGCAAGGTGCACAAGGCACACGCCTTTTGAAAGTGGTGCGCTTGGGACCTGGTGAGGCATATATATTAAAATGTGCCCTGGATGTGCACCTAGGTGTGCCTTTTAAATCATATCATATTTATCTATTTTCTCAAATACTTTGTAAAAGTAGGGGTACTCATAGAAAACCAAAAAATCAAACCCAGCCAAGAAAACTGAACCAAAAAAATGTAGTTAACCGAACTGATCGATTCAGTTTCAGTTCTGTATTTTTGAAAAAACCGAAGGACCGATTCAGTTTTTCATTAACCTAGAAAACCCCGACAGTTAACCAAACCACGGTATATATATTTATATATATTATATATAAATATATGCATTATATATCACATTTATAATTATTTATTTATAATATATAATATATTATAAATAATATTATATACATTTATATTTATTTATAATATATGTTATAATATAAGAAACCGAAAAGCCAAAGAACTGAACCAACCAACCTGAAATCAATCAATCAGTTAATTGGTGGTACCGGTTCGGTTTTGGTTCAGGGAATTGCAAAAACTGGTAGTACCAGTTCAGTTTCAAAAAATAGCCCAGGGTTCAGTTAACCAAACCTTGAGCACCCCACCCCTACATAAGTGTTTTAAAACCCAATATAGAGGCTGAACCGCTTTTCATTCTAGGTCAATGAATCAGCAGCTAAACCATCTGGATCAACCAGCCAAGGCATCATGCCATCATTAAAGAAGTTTTCACAAAAAAAATTAAAAAAATGCAAAGAAGTAACCCATTGAATAGGTTAGACAGGTTAATGGTTCAACTGTCTAGTTGACTGATCATTGACTGAATGATTTTTTTTTTTGAATATAGCAGGTTAGATGTTGACCTGAAATGGGATTGTGACTGGGTCACCAAGACATTGGTCTCACTGGTGGGGTCAACAATGGGTTGAAAACACTAAGATTTAAGCCATATTTAAAGTCAATTAAGTAAAAGTTGGTCAGTTTATATTCCAACCAATAGAGGAATTTGTGGGATAAAGGGTTGGGTCTGGTTTCAGCCATATTAAAATGGACTCAGTACAAATCTTGCTTATGGATTCATTCAGATCTGAATCCAAATATGGTAATTGGTAAGTCAATAAGGCTTAAAGCTTATTAGATTTAGACTCAGATTTTGGTGGATGTCACAACTCCTCTATGCTCTCTGACTCTAAATTTTGTCGTTTTTTGAATTAAAAAACAAAACAAACAGGGGGCTATTTAAACTCACCCACAACCAATTCAGCTTCCTCTTTATTAGGGAACTAAATATAACAACAGGGCCTACTACTAGTAAAGATGATTGATGAAGTAAAACCAAAAGGAATGAAGGAAAATAATTGATTACTCACCAGAACCGAACAAATTCCAGGGTAGAGGCCAGCACATATGATGGCTCGAATGAGGTGCTCATCATGGTTCCATGCATTGTATGTGGCTGTCTTCTCATCAACCAGGCCAGTATCCTTGAGCAAAGTAAAGAACTGTTTCCGAAGAGAATCAATAGCTTTCAGGGTCTGTGCTGAAAGAAAATTTTCCCAGCAGTACCTATATCCATCTTGCTCTCTTTCAGCATCTTTCCAGCCTTGGTAGGCTCGGACAAGTGCAAGATGATCGCTGTAGTCCTGAGCAGAGAATTGGGCTTTTGCAGACTCAGCAAGCTGCAAAAGGAAGCTAGAGATTTACATACATATTTCACAGTTACAAGGATTTTCTGTAATGTGCTGCAAGTAATTTATAAATGGTAACATTCATTAATTTGTTAGTTATAAGGACTTAAGGAGTACAACTGTCAACCACCCACAACGAGTGTTGACCCCAAGTTTATCTCAAAGATTAAAACGCAGCCCAAGAAAGATTGTCCCTAATGCTACGTTTGGTTTGAAGGAAAAGGTAGGGAAACCTTTACAAGGTTTGTATAGGTTTCCCTACCTTTCCCTTCATTTCCCTACTTTTTCCCTCATTTGCTGTCCATATGTCCAAACCCCCAAACTTTCTATTTGCAGCCACCTATTAGTAATTTAGAGTCTCCTTCAACCTCAAAATTGTGAAGTCCCCATTGATTAGCCAACCTCAACCCTTGGAGTAAGGCTGAAATCTCAGTTCTTGGTGAATCACCCATGACTATTGATCCAGAATAGATTGCGATCAGTCTACCCTCCCCATCTCTGTATGCTCCCCCAACTCTCAAGGGACCCAGGTTACCCAACCAGCTTCCATCAAAATTCAACTTCACCCTTTGTTGTGCTTAAGGGATCCATTATTCCTGAATTACATTCTTTATAATTGAAGAATTTGCCACCACAAACCATCCTCTAGAAATGTCCTCAACTGGGTAGTCTTTGAAAAGCTCAATTGATTTCAACCAATGCATGACTTCTTTTTTGATCAGTAACAGAAATTTTATTAAAAATAAAAAAGCATCAAGTACAACAACGAAGAGGAGGGGTAAACTCTCTTAGCCCTCCCCAAGATCAACACTAACATAAAGAGTTAAAAGCAAGCCCACATAGATTGAGTCCTCCCTACCCCCTATTTGGCTAAGGAATCTGCAAATGTATGACTTTAATAGTTATGCAATCAATTACTTGCTCCTTAGTTCTTTCAATCCCTAGAAAAATTCTATTATTCCTTTCTTCCCAAATTGACCAGAGGATGGCTGCTCTTATGGTTCTCCACATTACTCTTCCCCTTCTTTTCGGTAGTCTAAAGAAACTTGGGTAAAAAAGGCCTACCACATCTGAGGAAGAGACATACCTACAACCAAAGAGAAACGAGAACCAATTCTAAACAAAAGAACCAAAAGGACAAGATTATAATAGGTTTAGGTAATTGTCTCACCACAACCCAAGCATAAGCTACAAACATGAGGTGACACTTCATTGGAAAGGAACTTGCCAAGTTAGAAGACTGAAGAAGAGCAGTGAAGGGGGAACAAGTAAAAGAACCAGAAGGGGGCACAACCAAATTCTACCATCCAAGCAAGAATAATATAAAAACACTGAACTAAGAAGAGATATAAGGTCATCCACCAACCCCATTTCAAACTTCCTTAACCCTCTTTTCAACCCAAATGCCAAGAATTCTCATTACTATAAATAGATGGAAACTATCCACAAACCAAACATTGCGTTGTAGCCTTGCACCTTTTTTGCGCCTTGAACTTTTAAAACACTGCATTGTAGCCTTGCCAAATAACTGTGGGTTGAAATTACACCACCCACTATCACCTAGAAATTGATTCTCCCCTCCTTTCCATTCCAGTTTTCTATTCACCTGAAAGAGCATTCTCTCTTCCCAAGTTCTGTTTCGACTAGGCCAAAAGTCCCTTTTTATGTCTCACAAGTTTCTTCAAATAGTAGTGTCAGATCAGCTTTATTTTCAACCCTAAACTTAGCTCTGAATTTGCTTTCCACAATTCCCATTCTGGACTCAGAAGAATCTTCAGTGTCCGTATTCTCCTCACCTAGGTTGATACAATCTGAATCAAAGTCTTTGTCTACTTCCTTTCCCTGATTATATCTCAGATTTGGCCTCTCAGGGTTTATAGAATATGAAAGTCAGTTTCCTTTCCACACTTCCTATCTTGGATTTGGTTTCAGCACACCATGATTAAAACACAAATGCAGATCCTTACAAGGACTGCTACAGTAGAAAAGAGATTCACAGTTCACAGTTTATCAATGTCCATCTATAACACTATACTATAAGGATAAAATGTAAGTTAGCATACCTCCTTCTTGTCAAATGGCATTAAAAATGGATCCCTGACACTTAAACCAGAAACAACGGTCAATATTGGTTCTAAACAGTTGAAAATGGCCCCTAATATGAGCATCTTTCCGAGTTTGGGCTCCACTGGAAGCATTGACAAGTGTCGTCCTGTCAAGTGACTTGCATCAATTGAGGTGCATTCTTCTAGGGTAACACATAAGGAGAGTAATGCAAATGTATCTAGTATTATTAAAGCAACAAACTGTATCAGCAGCCACAAGCTTAGATGAACTTTGCCTACCTAGAACAGTCAGGTTCTCATTTTCAGCCAACGCTCCAATGATTTTAAGATATTCAATGGCATTTTGAACCTACAAGAAAGAAAAGCAGCCAAAATTAGATAACTTCAAAATTAAGAAAAGGATATGATCAACAATTAAGAAAAGACTAAAAATGTAAAGAAAGAAAGACTATAAAATTGTGTCATATGTAATTTCTATGAATACGTTCTAGAGAAAGAGAACTAGACTCCAACATAAGCTTACCGACAATGGTTCAGGTGACTGCAAGGCCCTAGATAGGAACTCTGAAATGCTTCCAAGCTGTAGGCTTTTAATTTGCAGACAAAGAGATTGTAAGGGTGTTCTTAAGATTTCTGGCATCTGATAATCTGCAAAAGAATCATATACACATCTGGGATAGAGATGGTAACAGTCACCAGGTTGAATGCGGCCAGCTCTTCCTCTTCTCTGAAATAAGGACACAAAAAGCCCACATTAGCAATGTATGTTATGAAACCCAAAATTCATTGTAAAGAAGATGGGCTGAATAACCCATAGCCCACAGTTGTGCTTTATATTTTTTATGTTCTGTTCTGTTAATGGGCCTGTTAGCATTAGTTTTCTCTTGTTCTAATTAACTGGCCACCCCACTAAGGGCTTACTTGTAATTTTCTGATAATTACTGATTAATCATTTTTAATGAAAGGACTAGGGGAAGAAGACAGGTACGAACAACCCTTCTTTTCACCCTTCTCACAATCAATCTCTTCTTCTTCTTGCTGCTGCTATCTCCTTTGTTTTCCCCTTCCTTTTAATCAGTTTTCTTATTCTTTTGAGACTGTTTTTCTTCTTGGTATCAGAGTGGGTCCCTTTTTCTTTCCCTCTTTTTTTTTTCTTCTTTTTTTCCCAATACACTGTGTATGGAGAGCTGAATCAAATGATTGATTGAAGAAGACATTCAGCCCAGTTGGTAGTGGTTTCTTGGAGAAAAAGGAAGATATTCTTCTCATCTTTTTAACAGTTTTTGGTTTTGCCCAATAAGCCTAATCAACTTGAGAGTTCTGATTGCGGGTCCCACAGGAAGCTTCACCTTGGTGCTCAGTGGCTGAAGGAGATCTTTTTTATTACCTTAAAGATCGATCCAAGCTTTGCAAAGCCTACAGGGAGCGGCTGCCTTTTTTCTATTTCTCCCGGGTTCCGGGTGAGATGTAGTTGGCTGTTAGGGATCTGTGAAGGTTGGTACTTGGTGTCTATTATTTCCTGTCTTCTTTATTTGTCATCTGAAACTGTTTTAGGAGTTGTTTGAGGAAGATGAATGCTTCTGGAATTGAAAATAAGATGAGCTCAGAGTCCGAACAGGTTCTAGGAGCACCTGTAGACTCTTTATTGGCTGTGACCACAGTCGAGCTTGATGGGACTAACTATCTAGCATGGTCATAATCAGTAAAGATACATGTTTGTAGTAAAGCACAACTGTGGGCTATGGGACATTTGGCCCATCTTCTCTACATTCATCAAGCTAACAAGAATCTTGTTATAGAAATATGCTTTCAGACCTTTACCATCTCAGCATATTAGATTAAAAATCAACTGGATCTATACCCAAAAGATTCTTCATCATCATCCCCACCTTATCCCCACCTAAATGGTCAGAAACACAAAATCCTGGTCCTTCATTTCACTCTAAGGCTATATGTACCCAAATATATCCAGTGAAATGACCATATGGTAAAAAGTATCCAGGCAACCAGCAAGAAAAATATCCTTTATCAACTTCAACCAAAAGGAGTCTAAAAGAATTTTGGCCATTAAAACATGACTAGCATCACTTCAGAGCCTTAACTCAAAGGGCCCCATAAAAGCTACTGACATTCATAATACTTGTAAAATTAGATGATTCAAACATGGCTAGATTTGGCATCGTTTTTATGTGTTTGGGTAAGATATTGAAACTCGTTGTACAGAACATATCTTTCAATCTGTCAACAACCTATAATATCTGAATGCCAAAGTTTTCCCCAAAAAATTCCAAAATGATGTGAAAGGATTCATGAAATTTTCCAATCAGCAAGCAGACTCATGCAACCCACCAAGATATAGTTGAAATCAAGAATAGATGATTATGAATCCAAATTATTGAAGACAATTATTATGAGAAAATTAGCTTCAAGTAAATTAATGGTCCTAATAGATATTAGAACATTAAGGAATGGCCTTGTCTGGTAGATACAACATCAAGTGACACTTCTCAACACCAAAATCTCTAAAAGAACAAAATTTAGATACAGTTTCACAGGTTTACAAATTGTAACTCCAGAAGGGCCTAGCAAAATTAATCACACAGATTTTAGACAACAAAAGAGGGTGGGTGGGTGGAAGAATGTAATCTTACTTGCTGAGCAGCAGCCTTTGAAATCCAGGAAGGAAGCAGGCAAGGAGTGTTATTCAATGCATCATATGATGTCTCTTTTACCTTTCCACAGTCGACAACAAAAACTACATCATCAATGGTGATACTTGTCTCAGCTATGTTGGTTGCAAGAACTATTTTTCTTATGCCATCCTCAGGCTTTTCAAATATTAACCTCTGAATGCAAACCAAAAAAGAAAATGATCCAAATTGTTAAAGAACATCAAAGAGCATATATGCAAAAAAAAAAAAAAAGGAACAATTGATCACACTTCCAGTGATACTACAGATCATAACACGAAGGATACAGACTGCTGAAAAATTAAGATAAAGTGGAATAGTAKCTAAGACTACAAAAGTGACTATTTGAGTGTGATAATATAAAAAGTAGAATGTGAAGAGGTGAATAGAAAGCCTAAGCCTACAGAATTTGGAAAATATRCTGCATCCCAGCCCATTATTCTGCCAAAAGACTATGATTAGACTTTCARATTAAACAATTAAAAAAAGAATTAAGTTTAGCTGGTGAAAAATGACTTTAAAACCCAACTACCCTACATATAATATCCATGTGCTGCAACACAAGGTTTAAAATGTCCCTGATTTCCCTAATATTTCCACAACATATTTCTCCTACTTGGGATTTTGGGTTTCGTAGAGGACTTAGGGATGCTGAAATTGAGTCTCTTTCTATTTTGCTTGGTTGTCTTAATCAGGTTTGTTTGGATCCCTCCAAGCCAGATAAGAGAGTTTGGACTCCTAGACCCAATGGAACCTTCTCTTGTGCTTCTTTCTTCAAGTCCATCTCTCAACTTTCTACTCA